TTGTCTTTGATAACATTAAGATAACAATTGAACACGCCCTTGAAGATGTATATTTGGTTTATATATGTAAAGAATTATTGAGAAGGATTATTTTGCAATAAGAAAAAAATAGGTACAGTTTAGTCTGTCTTGTGCTTTTCAACATTAAACGTTCTTTAAAACAGCGAAATTGCCTTTGATATGAGTTGAACAGATGAATATGATTGATCATTAAAGAATACGGCATGAGGGATGATTATTCTGGAAATACGACGTCATTTACATGGAACATACATGCAGAAAAGTCTGAAAAAGACTCACTTTTATGGTTATTTTCCTTCAGAAAAAAGTGTCCAACGCCGACATCAAATTCAATTTCTCGATATATTTTGTAAAATTGTTTGGAAAATCTCATATTTAAACATCTCTGTAGGGGATACATGCCCTGTAGGTTTTTTTTATATAGTAATCCCACAGTTAACTGATGTCGTCTTAAATTTTTTTTCAGAAAATACCGGAAAATGCACAGGTTCATGACGTTACAATCAACACTTAGGAAGTCAAATAAGAAGAAAGATTTGTAGGATTTGCTTCATAGAATTTCAATAATTCAGAATGGTTGATTTTTTATTTCTAACATCGACTCCATATATTATAACAATACAGGGCCAAAATTTGTATTAAAACTGTACATTAACCTTTAATAAACACTCAAAAGCAAGAAAGTTATCTATAGAAAAGTATGTAAAATATGATAAAATTTCATATGTTGCAAATGGAAAAGCATATGAGTACAGGTTAATGAATTGGAATTAATTAACTTACATTATTTTCAGCTTCTTTATGTCCTAAAAGAACAAAATTATTTTTACTTCTATTTAACACACATGTAATTATTTCGTCTTTGGAAAAATCTCTTGATCTGCATTTTAATTAACATTTTCTTATTTTCCCCCTATTTTTCCTTAGAGTTTGTCGTTATTATGTTATTTTTTACCGGCAATGAGTTGACTTTAAAAATTTAATTTTTTACATTTTAAATGAAAATATTTATAGCTTTTTAGTACTCACTATAAAATTAACCTTTTCCTGCATGTTTTTCAGAGGTTTTATTCTAATGTGTTTTCAAACATTTTCTATGAAAATAAAAAGCTATTTTATAGTTAGTACTCACCTTTTCTTCGTTTTATAACGAGACCGATGACAAGTAACACGAGAAAAAGCACAACAAATACCACGATTGCGATAATCGGCCTGAGGAATAAATATGTTAAGATGATTTTATTCAATATCAGTACAGAACTCGCTAGCTAGCTTCATGATATTTATGACATTTATTTATAAAAAAAAATCTTGATTACTGTACAGAGTGACGCAAATATTGCGATGTATTACAAATACTGCTGTGTATTCGAATACATATAGGTGATTTTATCTATTCAATCAGGTGATAGCACCTATTCGAATGAGTGAATAAGTGATACTACCTACTGTAAAACGAGAAACTTTTGAGCATACGTATTTTAGAGCTAACGCATGTGGCAATGCATTGGTGCAAAAAATTTTTAGAGCTTGCATTTTTCATTAAAATACATAAATGTAAAATTAGTTTTTTTTTTTATCCACGCCAATGTTTGACTTTTGCTAGTGCAATATAAAAATCCAACGAACTTTCCTCATTTCGTAATCGCGCGTTCGTATTTAAATGTACTTATGTAAGAGCTTTGAACACACAAAAATAATATTTACACATCACCAAAGGTGAATAAATAATAGTGCTCAAAATGTTCTCATATTACACTTTTTTTTATTTTTAATAGGTAATATCACCATTTCAAATTTTGAATTAAAAAAACGGCCCCCAAGGTAATGTTGTGTTCTTTTAAATCTCATTTATGTTCACTTTCGATTGACAACCCATTGTTCTTGGAGACAATGAATTACAGGTTTTCATTTAGTTTGAAGCATCATAATTAAATATGTAGTTTGATTTGCTCACGAATTAATTTATAAGACATGTCTATCATGTATAATCTAATAAAAAAGGACAAATCGTGAAAAATGCATGACAAAAGTTCAACAGAGAAAAAGCCCCCTTCACATTATTAAGAGTGAAGGGTATGCTAATGTGTTGTATCTGGGATAAATTTACATAATTTATATAAATATACGTACAGGGATCCATAACTAAAAGTATTTCAAAAGTTTCGGACTAAAATACAGGGGAAAACTGGGCAGTCAAAATTTTCCTGGATAATGCACCTGGTTGAAATCTAGACAGTCTAGGGAGCATTCATTATTTATTTTTGTACGAAATATAAATAGGTGATGTCACCAATTCTCATTAAAAGGTTACATCATCTATTCCAATAGTTGATGTCACTTATTCAAATAGCTGAAATCACTTATTCAACACGAATAGGTGATTTCATCTATACCAATAGGTAATATCAACACTTCGAAAAGGTATTATCACTTTTTGACAGTGAATATCAAAACGGCGCATGATACTGCCTCCTAAGTATGAATCATTACATACTGGTAGTGTAATCTACCTTACGTTTTCACTTTAGAATTGTAGATAAAGGATGGAGTTGATTCAAAAAGTTTTAAATATTTCATTACTTCCATTCATAAGAATAAACACTGTAACATTCATGCACTTATAAATGTAAGTGATATTAAGGAGGGTTCAGCGGGCTTCTCACCTTCTTACTAGACTTAATTTTATTTTCAATTTGGTATTAAGTATGTCCATTTTATTTAAAAGCTAGTTTCTCCATCCCTAGAAAATAATCGATGAACTTCCACATTCCAATCATAAAAACTTTGAAGTACAACGAATTCTACATTGGATTTTTCTGAAAAATTTTTTTTTATAAGATATACTTTCATTTTTGGCAATTTATGCATTCCTTCTATTCAAAATTTGTGCTATAAACGTTGCTGATATTTTCTCTGCATAACACCTAAGTAAAATTGATGAATCGGAGTTTACTGTTTTTGTCCTTTCCGTCTGTCTGTTTGCCTCAAAATATTTTCACATTGCTCATACTTTTTGAGTGGATGGGATATGGTTTCATTTGACCCTTTGACTTCGACCTTAGCGTTTGAACAATTTGATAAAAACGTTTCCCTAGGTAATAACATTTGAACAATTAAAACTAGGGCTTTCATGTTTTATATTATAATATTATATGATAATTTTTCGATAAAACCATTAAAGCTGTCTTTAAATATCTCTTTTAACGATACTCAAAACTTACAAAATATTTTCCGTTGTACTATCATCATTTTCTTTTAAGTCTTCCAATAGCATATAGCAATCTGCATCTACAAGTAATAATGTACTTTTTAAAGTTACATCGTATTTAACCATGTGCACCCTCAAAATTATTTAAAGTAAATAAATAAATATCTATATACTATGATACTGTAAAGCTAGAAAATTTGGCGCATACGTATTTTAGTATTTTAGAGCAACCGCAAGTGGGAATGCATTGGTGCAAATAAATTTTAGCCCTTGCACTTGTCATTAAAATATATATATGTGATTTTTTATCCACGCCCGTTTGATTTTTTGGTCAATCAAGCACGAAAACTCACTAGCACTCTGAGTCCCGGATATAAGTAAACATTCGTCAACTTTACCGTGGTGTTGCAATCACATGGACATAGAACAATGGTAAATTTTATTTATTAAAATTTTAAAAAAAGGAGTATTTATGCATTTTATTCATATTTAAACAGTACATGCATCGAAAGAAAATTACTTGGATGAACGGTAATCATAATCAGGTATTGCCTGCAAGCTCGGTGTGTTCCCCGAACGGGTGGTCACAACTTAGCTCTTCATGGATACATCTACCGAATTCATCGCAGAACGCCTCCAAAACGGGACAATCGACCTCATGACCTACACAGACTCCGCTTCAGAGCTGTTGCACCTGGGATAGTGATCATGAAGAAAAATCTGTGCTTATGAGACTAAATGTGAACAAATTAAGTGCTTATTAATGTATAGAACTGAGGTTATATAAACTCTGTTTTTATTTTAATATTGAATATTAATATTGGAAAGCATATAAGATAGTATTTAAAATGTTATGTTAATGAAGAGTGCTAAAAGTGTTTTATGTATTTTAAAAATGAAATATTTGTAAATAATAAACTTGTTATCACTTTTCATATACTGTGTCATAGTGCTTGTAATGAAATGTATTGAAATAAAAATAAAAAATATTGGTATGAAAAACACTTGTTTGGTATCTTGAATTATAGTTATTTAATCAAATAAATTATGGTTTGGTACATATTGGATTCTTTATCAGAAAAATAAATATTAAATTTATCTGATTTAGACTGTTAAATCAAGATAACACAGGTAATCTCTACCTGTGCCCCTTAGAGGGGCCCCTTAATTGAGTGTGATAATTATACTGTGTATATAAGTTTTAGACGTTCGGGGAATAAACCGCAAGCTCAGTCACCATGCTTGATTGCTTTGTTTACCCAGAGGCGATAGATAATTGATGCGTAGAGAAGCCAAACTTTGAAGGTGCTAATGATAAGTATCAGGTAAACACTAAGAATAGTTTAATGAAACTATAATTTTGCAGAACTTTCTTAATTGATCCTACAATGTACAGTGCTACTGTGTATATAAAATCCAACGACCCTGCAACATTACATAAAAACATAGGTAATCAGAGATTACAGAGCTCACCTCAACGAATGTTGTCTTTAAGTAAGGCAAAGTCACACAATTAACCAACAAAAAGTATACATTCCAAAAATGAAATATTTTTAAAAGCAAATTTGATCTGATACTTTGAAATAGACCTACATAAAAAAATTTAAACTACTTCTTCTTCATGAAAATGTAATGAAAATCCAGCATCTGAAGCAAATTTGAGAGTTTTCATCTCTTGATGCAGCATTTGTGCAAGTTTGGTTTATACAATGTTATATAAGCCTTATAGTTTTTGGTAACAGACCTGCAACCATAACTTTTACCTTGTCTATTACCGTATATACTCGCCTACAAGTCGGTATTTTGGGAGTTAAATATTGGTCTAAAACTCTATGTCCGACTTATAGGCGAGTCAAAAAGACATTGGTATTTTTCTGGAGGCTAAAAGGTTGTATCTTATTTGCATGTCCGACAATTATCGAAGAAAATTTCTCGATATATAATTTTTTAATTTTTTTCTTACATTTTATATATAAAGAACAAGTATTTACATATTTTAATATTTTTATTTGTATTTTAAATAAGCATTGCCTTTCTTTTTTTAAAAAAAAAAATCGATTAATTATCAGTGTCTTTCGAAAAATATTAAGTCAAACCAAGTTAAAACATCCTTGATTTACTTGATATAGTCACGAGATTTTGGCAAAAAATTGTTCCGACTTATAAGCGGGTCAATAGCAAATCCCACAAAAATAACATTATATAAATGGTGCCTGTTTTGTAGGGTAACATTTGAAATTGAAACCCCAAGGAAAACCATTGTCAACCGACGCGTCAGCGGAGGTTGACAATGGTTTTCCGAGGGGTGTCAATTTCAAATGTTACCCTACAAAACAGGCACCATTTATTTTATTATACTGAATGTCTTATTGATTTAGGACGTCAGCAAAAAAAAAACCGTTGATCGTCTTTACGTTCATGTATAGAAAGCTTTGACACTCACCGGTTCACTAATCTCCTTATTGTTTGTTTGATACTCGAATTCGAGTCATTTATCATATAAAGTTTCGTTATTTCTGGCTCGCAAGCATGTTTCCTACACTCGCAAGCATGTATCGTCTGTCGTTTGTTGTTTTCAAGTAAGCTATATCGGACGCAAGCTTTTATTGACGCCAAGTTAATTCCGGTTCTTTCAAACGCGCAACTGACGTTTTGAGAATTCTACGGTGAACCGTACGCGCATAATTTCCACGCATGTGGCATTACCGTTGTGTTACCCGTTGTCACGTGTGTTGCTAAGGCTCAGGGTAATCGAACGGATTGTTACCTGCGTCTAAACCAATCAGATTTTAGTATTTAACATGAAAGTATAATAACAAAAAATACCACCGACTTATAGGCGGACCGACTTATAGGCGAGTATATACGGTATCTGAAAAATGTATGTCCAATTCAGCATCCGAAGCAAGTCCATTAGTGTGCATCCTTAGATGTATCATCCATGCAAGTTTGCTCATTATAGAGCTCATAGTTTATTGGAAATGAAACATGCATCAAAACTAACATTTTCACTCATCCACAAAAAGTAGGTCAGATTCAGCATCCGAAGCAAGCTTGGAAGTATGCATCCTTAGATGTATCATCTATGCAAGATTGGTCATTAAAGAACTCATAGTTCCTTGGAAATGAAACTTGCACCAAAAACTTTTAACTATTCACTCAACCGGAAAATGTAGGTCAGATTCAGCATCCGAAGCAAGCCTGGTAGTGTGCATCCTTAGATGTATCATCCATGCAAGTTTGGTCAAGATAGGGCTTAAACATACTTGCAAATGAAACCTGCACCAAAAACATTAACCTGTTCGCTCAACTGGAAAATGTAGGTCAGATTCAGCATCCGAAGCAAGCCCGCTAGTATGCATCCTTAGATGTATCATCCATGCAAGTTTGGTCAACATAGGGCTCATGGTTACTTTGAAATGAAACCTGCACCAAAAACATTAACCTGTTCACTCAGCCGGAAAATGTAGGTCAGATTCAGCATCCGAAGCAAGCCCGGTAGTATGCATACTTAGATGTATCATCCAAGCAAGTTTGTTCTACATAGGGCTTATAGTTACTTGGAAATGAAACCTACACCAAAAACTTTAACCTGTTCGCTCAACCGGAAAATGTAGGTCAGATTCAGCATCCGAAGCAAGCCCGCTAGTATGCATCCTTAGATGTATCATCCATGCAAGTTTGGTCAACATAGGGCTCATAGTTACTTTGAAATGAAACCTGCACCAAAAACTTTAACCTGTTCACTCAACCGGAAAATGTAGGTCAGATTCAGCATCCGAAGCAAGCCCGGTAGTATGCATCCTTAGATGTATCATCCATGCAAGTTTGGTCAACATAGGGCTTATAGTTACCTGGAAATGAAACCCACACCAAAAACTGCACCAAAAATGTTAACCTGCTCCAAAAACATTAACCTGGTAATTCCTTTGCTGAAATTGCAGCATCTGAAACTTTGTCTGGTACAATAGAACACACTAAAACCATCTTCCATGCACGTCTAATCAGTATAGGCACAGGAGTCTGAAGTTTTTATCGTCAAAAAAAAAAAAATCCGGAAAAAAATTTTCCTACCCTTAACTAAAAAAAACCCCAGGATGGCAACGTGTTTTGGGGGGACCCACCTAAACAAATAGATCTGGGCTTGGCCAGAAAAATCTCGCGATTAATTTAGTTTCCGGAGCGTTTTTGTTATTTATTCAATGTGAAAAATTCAATCTGCTAGATGACTACGGGCCGTTCCTAGCCCTTTTTCCACTTTGACAGCTCATCCTGGACTCCATGCCACTAAACCGGAAGTGAACTCCGAGGTGAATAAATGACATAATTGAAGAAAAGAACCAAAAAAATGCATGTAAAACTTCGTGTACAATTTTATGTTACCATACGTGATCAATAAAAAGATATATTTTTCAAACAAAATAATGCTTTATAATGGCGCTTATTCTAACTGTTTGGCTCTTTGTCGACATGGCTTTTCAGTGATTTAAATTTGGCGCTTGTAAAAACTGAATTATCTGTCCCTGGTACACATCGTCGTACAAGTAAGAAAAAGAATATATAACTTTTTAAAGTTCTGTTAAATATATTTAAAATAACTGAATAAAATTACGTTGAACAATTATTTATTTTATTTCATTTGAACAAGTTTTTATAAACGTCAAATATACACTGCGAGATTCTCTTCCGGTTTAGTGGCATGGAGTCCATGATGAGCTGTCAAAGTGGAAAAAGGGCTAGGAACGGCCCGTAGTCGTCAAGCAGATTGAATTTTTCACATTGAATAAATAACAAAAACGCTCCGGAAACTGAATTAGTCGCGAGATTTTTCTGGTCAAGCCCAGATCTATTTGTTTAGGTGGGTCCCCCCAAAACACGTTGCCATCCTGGGTTTTTTTAGTTAAGGGTAGGAAAATTTTTTTCCGGATTTTTTTTTTTTTTTTTTTTTTTTTTTTTTTTTACGATTAAAACTTCAGACTCCTGTGATAGGACACAGAAGTAATTAAAAAGAAAACTGCACCAAAAAACTTAACCTTAACCTGAGACGCCGACGCCGACATCGACGCCGACGCCGAGGGTATCACATAAGCTCCCCCCAACTTCGTTGAGGTGAGCTAATTACAATAAATTTTAGCGTTCAGGGCCTCTTGCGCCAAAGGCGCTAAAATGAGTAGTTTGCCAAATATTCTCGTTTTACTGTATTAACACTTGCTGTGTTTTTCTTCTAATCCAACTGTGATATTGATTTTAATATTGTTTCGTGTAGTCATGCATAAAATTATGCACGGAGAAACTCGCCCTAAAGTGATGTCACAATGAAGCACCAAAGATGTTGATATAATGTAACAATAAAGGACAACGACAAACTCGATTATCTGATATATTTTTGGTACTTGTAACGTTTGAAATGTAAAAATAAACAAGATTTTTTTTAATTAAGTGTGAATTATTGGTGTGTAAATAACATCTGTAGATTTCTAATTATACGCGAGGAACTTCTCTCCGCTTTATTTCACAAGAAGCGTTATTCGCTAAAAAATATAACTCGCTTTAATTTTTATGTTGCTGAAATCTATGGAAAATCTGTTAATCAACCACCCATTTGCGAATAATAATTCTCGCGATTTGACGTTAAAGACCCAGTTCGCGTTAAAAAGTACTTGCGAAAATAAGGCTTCTATAGCAGACTTGCAATTAAGCATATTTTTTCATGAAGCGCTCTATGTAATTTTCACACCAATAATAGTTAGCTGAAAACATTACTTAAATATATCCAATATTTGTGTATCATACAATTTTTATATTGAATTTACTTAATCATACGACGTCGTGATCCGACTTAAGTGTTTCCGGATCTCGTCACTTTGATTTTCTGAATTCGTATCACCACCAGGGATGAGGTATATGTATTATGCAAAAACATGATTTTTTCCTCGCGCATTACAATGTCCTTTGACATAATGCTTTGTTTATTGAAAAAGAAGTTATAAAATTGATCTTAAAATTTTTATTTATTACTGTATTTATCTAGTTACTCGGGGGTATATAATAAATTTATCATTACAATAGCAACTTAATCTAAAGAGAGGTATCACGTCTCGTTGACAGGCGTGGATCATGAAATCAAACTAGAAGCGATGGTCAGCAGCTGTCAAATCGACATGATACGACCTCTTGGATCAAGTCGCTTTTATAAAAATGAATATTCATTACAATAGTAAACTGGTTCTAAGGGTCTAGTATACAGGGCTAATCAGATCGAATGAGACAATGATCATCAAACTTGATCTAATGATCCGCGCCTGTCAACGAGACATGATAAGGGTCTAAGGATAAAGTTACTATGATAATAATAAATCAATCACCCTCAGCACCTCAAACAACTACCAAATATAGTGGAAACTTTGGAGATCAATTACGTAATACTTATCTATTAATCAAGTATTGATTTTGTCAAGGAATTTCAATAATGCGCAAAAAAAAATAATTTCATGTTCAGTGTATTACGTGATCAGTTTTAAAGAGCGGTGATATGGAATCAGAAAACCATGAACAGTGTGGTGATTTGGAAAGTCTGACTACTCATCAGTTTCGGAGAGTAGTGATATGTATTTAGAAAAAAACAGTGTGGTTAACCAGAAAGTTGGATCAGGATGTTACGCGATAGCGTAAAATCAACAATAAAACAGGGTGAAACACAGTTGGATGTATTTGTATATAATAAAATAGATTACAGGCAGTTGAATTCCACGATGAAAACCCAATAGGACAAGGATTTTTGTAATGCTGGCAAGATTTTTCCTCAATTTGTTGAATTCCTTTCCCAACAGTATCATATTTAACGCATTTGCCTGCAATTAATGTAAAAGCTTTTATTATTATATTGTTATGAAATTAAAACCAAATTTACATAATAATTCGTATCCTTAGTGATCTTATATCATTTCCAGGAAACATATGGAAATAACGAACATTATTTAAGCTAAAAAAATTGAACAAAAAATTGAAAAAAAAATTGTCATACACAATTACCCTGTGAATATATTGATGGCGCGCAGACGTCTACGAGTTTATTCAGATTCATTTGCAGCACACAGTGGTATCGAAAATTTTCGGCAGATGTGCAGTTTTGCATGGTTGACATGCTCTCACAATTTTTAATTCTCATTGCTGTCTTAAGCGCTTCTAAAGTTGTTGGACAAGTTTGTACCTCTCTCATAGTTGGTTCGGATGCAGGGCAATAAACTTCCATTGTGGGCATTGTCTTTAATATAAATAGTTAATTAGAAGGATTTATCACAGTTCCAACCATTAGAAAATTTACATTGACGTGACAGAATCAAACTGCACCTGAAACTGGTGATCAGTTGTCAAATTTAACATATTTAGAAATTCAGTGAAACATCCAAAGTAAAAAAAAATTCTACCTTACACATTAAAACAATGTAAATGAAACGTTTGCTTTTATATTTTTAAAAATGTGATAAAAATTCATAAGAAATGCATTTTTTGTTTACAATAAAGCTATTTAAAGGTCTTACCTCTGATAGAAAGATTAAAACATAGAGTTGTTTTCTTAGGCTTAAACTTGTCATATTGCAGTTTTTTCAAGTTAGACGTTATTGGCAAGACTTTCATGCAAAAAAGAAGGGAGAAAAAATAATAATTTCAAAATTCTGTTAGTAGGTGGTATTACAATCCATAGCGCTTTTGCTCCTTTTCTCTTTGGTTGATTTTAATTATTGATAATAATAATAATAATAATAATAGCAACATGATGTGAAAAAAAAAATTGATAAAGTGATATTGTCGCTATTTTTACGCCATAGTGAAAAGACAAGGTCAAAAGATGGCGCAAAAATATGTCTGAAGAAAGCACCAAAACATATATACTTGACACAACAAATGATACATGCTTACACGATAAAAAAAAAATAGTTAAAAAACAATATGAGCAATCAATGATGCAAGCAACGTATTTTTCTGTTTAGTTTAATTTTATATTTATCAAGGAAATATTAGTTGGATCGCAGTAACCGTCTGTTTTCATCTACACTGTTATAGAATGGACCTCATTGAATACTATCTCTCTATTCTATATAGTTAAAGAGAAAAAGAACATTTGTGTGGCCTAAAAAACATAATGAACCCTATTTTAATTAACATATTTTTCAACTTAAACTTAAATAATTGGAAAAACGAACTCCTTTAATTTTCAATCAAAGTAAATGTCATCATGAATGTCAATCAATGTTATTATATTATGACATTGATAAATCACATTTTTTGAAATATTTTGGAAACATTAAGAACGTTTCGTTAAGAATAAAGCTTCAAAGCTAGATGATAATCAAAGTACTCAGAAGTACAGAGAGCCGGGCTCATTTACAGAAAAGAATGGATTTCTTACATGAATCACGTTTATATTCTGATGAAAAAATTATTTTAAAACTATCAATATAGGATAAGACACTGACATTGAGTTTTTTAATCCTTATACCACGGTACGATTTTGTCAGAATCAGAATTAATCTGGTACCGCAGATGAATGTAAACAAACAGGCGAGTCTGGTTCCCTCTCCTGCTTTACCTCGTATGTGTAGAGAACTACGGTAACACTGATTATCAAAAATCCTTACGCTAATGAACTATGTTCTTTGACTAATAAAGTTTTCAAAGTCATGACTACTAATGTTTATTTTATATAGATAAAACGTTTTTATTTTTGTTGCTTTATTTAGCGTTTGTATTATCTCAAAAGCGGTTGAGAGTAAGAACTATATTTTTGCACGTAATTATCAAATGGCGACTATGGGGTTAACATCATGCCTTGAACAGGATCACATTAGCCGGCAATTACTCTTTGAGCAATAAGCCCGGCTAAAAATGAATTATAAAAAAAAGATATTGAATAACATGGTCTTTCCTTGTAAACGGAGCATTTCAACTTAATACAAAATCAATATAATTATTGCATATGAAGATTCGGGGATAAGGCGGAGGAAGTCCCTTTTGTGCAAAAAACATGAAGTGAAGAATGATATCTCAATTAATTATACAAACTTTCTTCAATATTTCTATCTAATATTTAAATTAAAGTATACTTAATGTAAAATCTCTACAATTTAGAAAAAAAATTATCACAAAGATTGAAATCATTTTCCAATGATAAACATACAAACACAAACAAAAAAGATCATTTTTTTCATACTGTAACAAAATCGATATGAGTGAGATTTTGCTCCATTTAATAGAAAGATCATTTTAAACGTTTGCAATAAAATATACATTTTTGGTTTACAGTCATGGAGCAAATACCAACTATATATGTGCCTTAAAAGTACACTTATGTGACAAATCATTCGCATCTTTCCGAAAAATACTTCAATCACACAGTGCAATACTCCGGGTTTTTAGATTTCGAATCCCACAAATATTATCCTACATTTTAATTTAAGAAATAATCATTTCCGATTTTTTTGTTTCTCTCAGAAAATCTTTGCTTCTCATGATTTCATAAATTTCAATAATGAGACAAAGTCGGGCAAAGTGTCTTTATTATTTTGAGAAAGATATCCTTTTTCTCCTACAAACGTCATTTTTGACTGTTGCATGTAAAGTGTTGACAAAGGTTAAGATGTTCAAAAATGAACTTTTACAATAGCATCAAAACTATGTGATGTATTAAGTTTAAACATTTACTGTGTATGAAAATATCATTGATTAAGAGATTAAGAAAGAAACATTTGAATACAAATATTTCAAAAATATATATTTAATTAGAAAAAATTTATAAATAATGTGCGTATTATTTTAATGCACATATTCAATGTTTGATTGATTGATTGTATACTGTTTAACGCCCCTGTCCAGAATATTTCATTGATATGGAGACGTCACCATTGCCGGTGAAGGGCTGCAAATTTAGGCCTATGTTCGGCACTTAGGGCCTTTGAGCAGGGAGGGATCTTTATCGTGCCACACCTGCTGTGACACGGGGCCTCGGTTTAAACGGTCTCATCCGAAGGACCGCCCCATTTAGTCGCCTTTTACGAAAAGCAAGGAGGTACTGAGGACCTATTCTAACCCGGATCCCCACGGGGCCACCTATTTAATGGTCTACTGTTAGTAAAAACACCATTGTAGAAATAATATAAGTTTATCAATGAAGGGCAAGCTGGACAGGAATGGTCTCTGAAAGGCCCTTGTTGAAAGCATGATAGATATAAAGACCCCTATAAAATCCGTCATTTGCATTGTACTTTCGGTTTCAAGTCCTAACATTTGAACAAAATATCTTTCCAGATCTTCTCGAATTCAAACTATTCAAACTTACCTTCATTGATAAACATTTTTCTCTGCAATGATGACTTTCACTAAAAAGCTCGGATAAACTTAAAAGTATTTGGATTTGGAGATATTGTAAAAATAATTTTTGCGCATGATGACCTTCGGTAAAACCTTAGTATCAACATTTCACACCTGACAAATAATTGTATGTATAATTATTTATTTGCTGCTGATAATTTTATATAGGTCGTAAAAGTTCACAATTATGTATTTTAAATGCATGTACATGAAATATGTTTTTTAAATCTTCTTTCGATTTTGTTTTCAGGGCGTTGTCGTTTCGTTGGGATTCTCGCATTATTGATTTTTAGATGCTCCTTGTATTTACAAAAATATCAATTGTTTGTTAAAAATGAATTATGATCTTTTTACTGCCTTGTCTCATTACGCTTTCGCTTGTGTTGTTGGTATAAAAAATAAGGAAAAGAGGCGAACTCACCTTGAGGTCTAATAAGGTATCTGCCTGAGATAAACAATGATTTTATTTAAATTAGCTTCGCACACGCTATGATCCCAAATCAAATAGTTTTTTTTTATTTAAAAGGAATTTAATTTCCTAATACTTATTTACAATTAAATAGCATTTGAATAAAACTCTGAAAACATGAAGCTCGAATGCGAAAGTAAAACATGTGGAGTTGTTTGTGAATAAGGGGTGGATCCAGGGAAAAGTCAACACGTATCAATGCTTATTCATTCGGGCGATATCAACATAGAAAACGATATTTCTTCTTTTGCATTATGTTTAATATATTCTTATTAATATCACATCGGCTTGATTAAGCACAATAAATAAATTAGAGAGAGAGAGAGAGAGAGCGATTTGAAAAATAAAATTGCTTATATGTTAGTATTTAATTTTGCAATGAAGACTGGCATATTTTCTTTTTGTCAAACACATGCAAAAATGAATTTAAAAATCAAAATCTTTGAACAGCAATTTGCCTGACAGTCATTAACACTAAGGCTATTACTTAAATAAGAGGTTCTAAATGCGATTTTTTTTATATATAAAACGCTCTCATATACCTTGTTTAAAGTCATATATTGTGTATTTTTTATAAAATTCAAACCAATGTTCAAACTAGCTCTTTGTATTTTGAAACAGGCTGGGAACCACTCAGCGACAGACACAAGATCCAAAGATTAAATACCATGTACAAAATTCACAATGATTTAGTACCAGATTACCAATCTGAGATTATACCTGATATGCGATGTAATGCTTCTGCATATACAACAAGAAACTCACAAAATTATAGCATACCTGTATGTAAATTGCAAACCTACAAATCATCATTTTTACCAACTGTAATAAATGAGTGGAATTCCTTACCGCTAAATACCAGACTTTCGAGCTCTTTGTCTGTTTTCAAAAGTAAAATTAAACAAAAAATAACAGAAGCTCCGCCATATTTTAATTTTGGTAAAAGACGCAACAATATACTGCATACACGGTTTCGGCACAATTGTGTGCTAAACGCTGATCTTTATAGATGTAATATAATATCTAGTCCATTATGATCCTGCGGTAAGGTAGAAAATACACATCATTATTTTTTCTCGTGCCCTAACTACAACGAGGCAAGGAAAGAGTTTTTCGATAAGTTCTTGAGATTTAATAAAGTACAGTACATATTGTTGACATCCAGACTTTACTCTGGGGGGATACATCACTCAGTATTTCTGAAAATGAATATCTATTTTCTATTGTACATTCTTATATTCAGCATTCTGGTAGATTTAACTGATTGTACAATTTTTTAAAAACTATTTTTATAAACAATAATGTAGCAGTCTATATATGTCCACAATGAGAGTTTATTTGATTTACCTGTTATTTATTTTGTACAAACTGTTGAACACTTCTAATTCATCCTGTTATAATATCTCATGTAGGGAGAGGGCGATTTAAGTTTTTAGAACTTGTGCCTAATCCCATTGTATATATTTTGTGCAATAAAATATGTTCAACTCAAACTAGCTAAAATTAAAAGTGTTTTTTTTCCTTTTAATTTCTTTTTATAAACATATGACTTTCTTGCAAAAAACACAATTTAAATCAATAGCGTTTCATAGAAATAACAGATTTAAAACAATAACCAATATATTTCCGGCTCGGAGTGAAAAAGCAGACTCAGTTTCTAGTACGTTTTACTATTTAAATGTGGAGTCTTCTAAGTTCAAAATCGAGGAAAAATTAAATGTGAACGATAATTACAAATAACATGTAAATCTACAGTCAATCTTTTTTTGTTTTATTTTTTAGCTCAAATACGCCATTAATATAGCTTAAACCAAAAAAAAAACAAAACAAAAAACAAACAAACCATGTTTGATACCTTCAGCAGAAACTGAAAAATATACTGTCCCACGCTCGGAGCTAGAAAATTTTAAACGATGGACAACTTAATTTTTATTATACATTAGCCCACTAAGACTTCATGTGAACCTTTAAACGATGCATAATTATGGAATACAATGTACACATTGTAGCCGACTATTTTAAGAGAAAACCAAAGCTTCACTCAACAAGAGAATATCACGCTAATGTTATAATTAAAACATGGGACTATCAACATCTTTATAAAGTGCTATCATAACCGATGAGAATTTCCAAAAGTTTTGTCTGCAATACATGGTATCTAAGACCATGTAAATAATGACAATCCGAAATTAAGCAGAGTAAAGCAGATTTTTTTTAAATTCAAAGTTTAGAATACTTGTGTATAAATATAACTGTTTTAAGTGTGACAAGTTAATAATAGCATCTATTTGTGTATACAAAATAGATGTTATTACTTTACGCGAAAAGCATATTTTAATGGACCTATTAACTAGTTTATAGGTCCCTAGTATTTGTTATTTGAACGTTGGCTTTTAAGGGTCGGGTTTGGTTGACACATTAAGTGTAGTATATAAAAGGTCGGGTTTGTTCTTCACATTCCTTTCTCCTGAGCCCCGTGGGGATCCGGGTTAGAATAGGTCCTCAGTACCCCCCTTGCTTGTCGTAAAAGGCGACTAAATGGGGCGGTCCTTCGAACGAGACCGTATAAACCGAGGCCCCGTGTCACAGCAGGTGTGGCACGATAAAGATCCCTCCCTGCTCAAAGGCCCTGAGTGCCGAGCATAGGCCTAAATTTGCAGCCCTTCACCGGCAATGGTGACGTCTCCATATCAGTGAAATATTCTGGACAGGGACTTTTAACAGTATACAATCAATCAATCCTTTCTCTTGAACCTTTCGAAGGTAAAGACGCATAACAATTACTTGCAATAAAATACATGAAATGTTGTTTTGTAGCTTAAAAATTTGTATGATTTTCCATTTATGCATTGTTCTCAACCATTTTAACGCTGTTATTACAATTGATGTGCATTAGTTACGACAGATGAGATTGGATTCAAACACTTTACAAAGCAGACGATGCGCACGCGTTTATGCCAAAAAATCGTTTACTTATACCTTTGTATTGTTTTACAATGATATAATGTTGGTTATTAACATTCATAACTCTCTTTTTGTTCATACTGCTTCGAAACCCGTATAGCGTTTCTCTATATTATCTACTGTGATGGCGGAATAGAGAACACACTATGATTAAATGATCTAACAGAGACACATCCGTTCTCTGCAGCTTGTAACACAAAAGAGAGAGGATAGGTATACGTCACGACAGGTGCTGTGACGTATACCATTAGATTGGAGGCATCAGGGCAATCCGTGCCCAGTACCTACAGGACCACCACACCCGGAAAATGCCAACATAGAATATTTCCTATGCACATGCATGTGAACAACAATAAGGAAACTCGGTCGGAGCTTCTCGTGGACATGGACCCAAATACAAGACTACAAGTCAAAGAAAGGCATAGAAAATCATCTTTAAATCGTTTGGAAAACCAGACATTGAATATAAGTATCATCACAGATTCACAGTCCAGTATATCAGGTACATCAATCACCTTTGTATTGCATTAATTAGTTGAGTGTGTATACATGTATACTTGAATTGTCTTTTCCACTGTAGATTGACACCAAATTATAAGCAATGTCTGCCAGCATAGCTTTTGATGTTGCTTCTATAACTATTTGTTTAAGAAATGTTAACTTTCAAGATTAGAGGGAGAAATTAAAAAAAAAAAGGAATTTTAAAAGAGAAGAGGGGGCGGGGGGCTAATTGGAAAAGATTAAGTACCAGAAATCAAGCGGAAAACAAAATGAAATTAAATATAAATTTAACCAGTAAATCTAACAAATGAGGTTGCAATAAAATAATCTCCCAAAATAGCTGCAGATCTACATTCAAATCATAAAATTTTACATTGATATCTCTCAAGATAAGGACTTGTGGTTGCCTGAAATTTGTTTAAAACTACGGTCAAAATAACCCAATAGATTGTCTTGATAATGCTTATACAGATAATACAGCAGTAATGTAAACAGTACCAACGTTTTGTTTAATTGTAGAAATAGAACTTGGTGAGTCTTTTAAATCTAAGGAATATTAGGCATTACGTAAAGCATGGCTAAGAACAAATAGGCTTATGGCATTATCTAAAATATGGCTCAGAACAATTAAGCATTATGACAACCTGGCTGAAAACTACTAGACAGTAGACATTACTTACAACATGGCTTTATGTGGCTCAAACTATTGTGCATTACATGCAACATTTCTCAGAACAATTAGCCATTAACTACAATATTTCTGAAAATTACTAGGCATAACTAACAACATGGCTCAACCTGGCTCAGAACAATTGGGCAATTCTTACAACATGGCTCAGAGCAATTAAACATTAACTACAATATGGCTGAAAACTTCTAGGCATTACGTTCAACATGGCTCAACCTGGCTCAGAACTATTATTAGGCATTTCTTACAATATGGCTCAGAATTATTAGGCATTAATGCCAACATTTTTCAGGCTGACATAGTATATATCTCAAGTTTGTGATGAATGTAAATAAAAAGGATAATGAAGTACATATCTTTTCCAGAGTAGTTTTGTTATAGTTATTTAAATGCACCCAATTTTCCTAGAGTTTAGTTCTTTGTATTCATGAAATATTACTATCTAATTTTGTGAAAGCCCCTGATATTTATAAGGCAAGTGATAAGATAAGTTGGATATCATAAACTTTATAGATATACACTGAAATTGGGCATCCTACTCATTATAGCTGACTTCAAGAAGGAAAAAGATCAAAATTTGGGGTCGGGGAGCAATGATCCTCTGGAAAATGCCTTTCTCAAGTCTGTATTTTTGGGAGCTTTCTCGTCATTGATTCCATTGTTAGCTATTCAATTGGAAACAAAATGGTCATTGAAATATAGTTATACAAAGGTGAAAATGAGGAAGGGGGGCATCTTCATTGTTAAACAACATAATGTATCAATTCATATTCATTCTTGAATGAAAAGGAAAATACAAAAATATAACCATAAACCATCCATTGCCT